AAAAAAAGCAGCGGATGGCGATCACAGTCAACGACCTACAGTCGGTTCCAGGCGGCGCAGACCAAATGGACTATTTCTGTTGCTTATTTGAAAAATGTTGTGTCATTTAAAATATTGAGTATTTATATTGTTAAACGTGTGCGTCTCACAATAAAAATATATATATATACATACTAAGTATTTATTTGTTTGTCAATGACAACACACATTAATTAGTGTAATATAAACAGATCATTTTCCTCTGCTGTCACTGCACTGATTATATTCACACACTAAGCCAGGGACGGACTGGGACTCAAAAACAAAAACAAAATACAATTAAACCACCATTTTTATCAGTTTTGTTTGGCCCATAATTTATACAATTATTTAATGAATTAATTCTAAATATATATATATATATATATATATATATATATATAAACTTTAGGCTTCGGTCTTCTTTAAAATAAAAAAAAAAATGGCTTTGAATTTTTTAATCAAAATACACCTTGCTTTAATAGTGGTTTTATTAGCACAAATATCAATTTTTTGAACATATAACCAACAAACTCTTTAAAATTAACACTTTCTTGTGGGGAAAACAAAGGAATTAATTGACATGCTTTTAACCCTCTGATGGTCTTCCTTTATGAGTCACGTCCTGGGCCTTCCCGGTCAGAAGTGACCGGAGGCCTAAAAATGAAACTTCTTCCATCCCAGTAAAACCAATGCAATTTTTTTTTGTTCCATAATATTTATTCTTTTTAATTTAGTATTTTGAGACAATTTGATTGAATTTATTAATATTTATGCAATATTTATGGTCTATTTTTTTCCATGGAAATATATGTATATTTTTCTATATATACATTATTTAATATATATATATATATATATATATATATATATATATATATATTAATGCAGTATTTTAGTTTAATATAGAGTCTAGGCCTTCAGAAAAAAAAAACAATATTTTTTGAAGAAAATTAGCACCATCTGGTTAGAGTATAGAGAAAAAGCGTAGAATCATGGTGTAACCACTAGATGGCATGTACAGCTCTCTATGGAGAGGCATGTGAATTTCCCAGCTGTTTATGAACACATTTTTTTTTTTTTGGTGGATTTGAATATATAATTGAAACAATCTCAAAAACGATTTCTTATAAAAAAAAATTTTTTTTAAATAAATAAATAAATAATAGATAAAAAAATTGTGAATTTTTGTTTTTTTTCAATTTCCCATTCATTTCCTATGGGGGTCATTTTTAACCAAACACCAAAATCGTGGCTATTTTTTTTAACGATCACTTAGCATGCTCGGATCATGAACTCAATTTTTTTTTTGTGTTCACATACCTAATGCCAGAAATGTCACCAAGTTTCTTTTTTTTGTAGTCTGAATTGTGTGTATGTGTATAAAAGTGTGTTTGTATGTGTGTGTGTGTGTGTGTGTGTGTGTGTGTGGGTGGGTGTAAATTTTTTGTACTCTTGATGTTGTAGAGTGTCACCCCTTTACTGCGGTATACTTCTTTTAAGAATCATGGCCGATTTGTAGATTGTACAAACAAAATTTTCTGTTTTGAAATTTTAAAAATCACAGCTTCATCAGAATGTTACGAAACTTGGTGACTTTTATGGCATTGGGTATGTGAACACACAAAAATTGAGGTCATGATCCGAGCAGGCTAAGTAGTCGTAAAAAAAATAGTCACACTTGTGCTCTTCTGTCAAAAATGACCGACCATAGGAAATGAATGGGAAATTGACAAAAACACAAAAACTTTGAGAATTTTTGTGTGTACAATCTACAAATCGGCCACGATGCAGAAAAAAAGTGCTCAGCATTGAAGGGGTGACAATATAAAACATCAAGAGTGCAAAACAGACATACCCACACACACACACACAAACACACTTTTATACACATACACACCAAGAAATTTTGATTACAAAAAGTATGTTTTGAATTATTAAAAATCACAGCTTCATTGCAATGTTACGAAACTTGGTGACTTTTATGAAATTTATGTATGTGAATACACAAAAAAATTGAGGTCATGATCTGAGCATGATAAGTGGTCTTAAAAAAATAGTCACACTTGTGGTCTTTGGTCAAAAATGACCCCCATAGGAAATGAATGGGAAATTGTAAAAAAATGAAAAAAAATAAAAATAAAATTGTGAATTTTTATGTCATTTTTTTTTAATAAGAAATAGTTTTTGAGATTGTTTCAACTATATATTCAAATCCACCACCAACAACAACAAAAAAATGTGTTCATAAACAGCTGGGAAATTCACATGCATCTCCATAGAGAGCTGTACATGCCATCTAGTGGTTACACCATGATTCTACGCTTTTTCTCTATACTCTAACCAGATGGTGCTAAATTTCTTCAAAAAAAATTTTTTTCTGAAGGCCTAGACTCTATATTAAACTAAAATACTGCATTAATATTACTTTGAAAAAAATAATATATATACAGAAAAATATATGTATTTTTCCATGGCAAAAATAAACCATAAATATTAATAAATTCAATTAAATTGTCTCAAGATACTAAATTAAAAAGAATAAATATTATAGAACAAAAATAAATTGCATTGGTTTTACTGGGATGGAGAAAGTTTCATTTTTAGGTGTCCGGTCACTTTTGACCAGGAAGATAACAAGTGTGACTCCGAAACGAAGAGCACCTGAGGGTTAACTATAGAAAAAAACATGGACAGCCTACGGGAACCTTTTTTGTGAATTAGCCTATTCTGTTTCAGAAATGTGCTTTTAATGTAATATCTGATGATTAATTTTGTTTCAATGGTCTGTTATTCTTTCTTAATAATAAAATGTAGCCCGCTAGCTGCTTCACTTGCTCCCGGTTCATGCACCAGCTGCAAAAGCTAAAATAAATGTATCAAATGTATCAACAATCATGAATTAAAAATACTAAGTCAGTCTTTGTTTGTATTGCATGTTTACTTTTAGGCTAATTCAATGAAACAGTCTAGGTCTCCATATCCCTCTATGTCGTCATCGCTCTTTAGAACGTTCGGTGAGTATAATGAGTGCAGCGGAATCCTGCCTTCTTTGTAGCGAGTCGGCGATTGAGTGAGTATGCTGTGCTTTTTACACGGGGTTTGGGGATCTGAATTTTAATATTTCCATAATTTACAGAAGAATCTGTTTAAACTGGGAATGTTATTGCCTCGATTTGCTGTATTACATTTAGATAAATAAATAGGCATACACTGCGGTTTATGTGGAAATGAGAGGATGATATATGTGAATCAATAATGATCAAATCTTTTTATATATAAATATATATATATAAAATTGTTGATACTTTATATTTTAATGACAAAACGATAGCAGATGTGATGACACACTGAAGTGATACTGAAAGCTTATTGGCCTTAAGATGATTCGTTATTTAATCAATCAAATTTGCCTTGACAAACGGTATTGATAAAAAATAACAATTAACTTTTTTTAGCTTCATTTGTTTTTTTGTTTTTTTTTTCATTTTAAATAAATTTTTTCGGAAGGCTCTCAGCCTCCTCTGCCTCTTCTGATAGATTGCCACTGGGCATACACTGTATACATTTTTTATTTTTTAGAAAATTAACCCTTGTGCATCAATTTAAAAAAGTTACACATAAAAGAGGACAAAAATGTCCATGTCAAAAACTGTCATAAAAACGTGACGCTTTGGAGCAGAGACTTAAGTTTGGTATCATTTTAAAGAAGACCCTTTGCAGATTATTGTTGAAGTAAAAAAATAATAATAAGTAAATCCAAAAAAAAGTTATATAGGTATAAGTTTATGAAAATTATTTATAAAAAATATTTTATATAAAATATATATATATTTTAAATCAGGTTAAACTCAAAACTGCAATAAAATCAAAGCCATAAATCTAAATAGGTTGTGTTCCAAATTTGAGGATGATATCTCAAAAAATGAGCTTTCAGTAACAGTTTGTTTGGGCGTAGTAACATATTTTCCCCATTGGGTCCCAGCAAAACCCCACTGGAGCTCACAGTGATTGGATTTGAATTTGCAGTTTTTCTCTCTCAGTATTATAAACACACACATGCGCACACACACACACACACACATTTTTTTATAACACACATACTAACCACACTCTGACATCCATACCAACACACCCACACAAATATTGTTGCATAATTTATCCAGTTGGCTCTGTAGTTATGCCGAAGCAGAAAACAGGAATAAAGCGATATTTGTTTTATTGGCCAAACTTAAAAAAAATGGCAACATCTGATAAAAAATAGTAAAAAATAAAATTTAGAAGCCTTGCCATCAGAATGAAAGCCTCTTAACAAAGATTGCATAATTTTATAGTTAACTGAACCGGGGATTAAAAATGGCAGTTTTAATGGGTTTCAATGGGGACATTTTTGTCCAAAAGGCGCTGAGAGGGAGTATTTTTTGTACCTAATGCAAAAAATATTTTTTTAAGAAAGTGACGGTGAAATAGTAAAATTCCAATAAAAATACACACCTGTGGCAAGTTTTTTGCAGTTAGCTTTAACACAGTCAAAGTGATCAAAAAAACAAAACTGAAAAGGACAAAAATGTCCATAAGGATGCACAAGGGTTAAAAACCTGGGTTTAGTCTAGCCTACTTGATTTTCCGATTGTCCGACCAGTGCGACATTGCACAATTTCTTATTTATACTCTACCAGATGTCAAAGAGCAGTACTGAGTCATTTCAACATTCTTTTAACAATCACCGCAACCGTTGTTCTGCACTCGCCGTTAGTGCAAACACAAAAATTGGGCTACACATGGATGTCCGTTGAACTTCAGATGACAAAAAATTGCAGAATGCGGACGACATAAGTTTACTTTGGGCTTAAGACAAAAAGCTTTCAGGTTCTTGTACTGTATATTTACTAAATCATCTCTTCCCTTTCTCTTTCTTTTATAGTGTTTCACAGTTATACACTGCAAAAAGTATTGTTCACGTCTAGTTCATTTTCTCAACCATGCAGTCCTCATCTATGGAATTGTCAGAGGAGCTCACTTCGGCCCTTGCTGCGGGACGGTGGTGGGCGATTATGGAGGTTTCAGACCCCATCCCTGACGACTATGAGTACGACTTCTCCGTCTCAGAGGAGTGGGGGCAAACAAAAGAGGCAGGAGCAACATCAAGTTCCTCATCCCTGGTCTTATCTGAGAAGGCTCATTTCCTACACTCCGGCATCTCAGATGAAACACTGAAGACCATACCGGAGTGGAGACAGAAGAGGACGCAGGGGGCACACTTCTCTTCTAGATACAGACATGAAGCGCCTGAGCCCGTGAGATCCTGGCCTGTGCCCGTGAGATCCTCGCCTGTGCCCGTGAGATCCTGGCCTGAGCCCGTGAGATCCTCGCCTGAGCCCGTGAGATCCTCGCCTGTGCCCGTGAGATCCTGGCCTGTGCCCGTGAGATCCTCGCCTGTGCCCGTGAGATCCTCGCCTGTGCCCGTGAGATCCTCGCCTGTGCCCGTGAGATCCTGGCCTGTGCCCGTGAGATCCTCGCCTGAGCCCGTGAGATCCTCGCCTGTGCCCGTGAGATCCTGGCCTGTGCCCGTGAGATCCTCGCCTGTGCCCGTGAGATCCTCGCCTGTGCCCGTGAGATCCTCGCCTGAGCCCGTGAGATCCTCGCCTGAGCCCGTGAGATCCTCGCCTGAGCCCGTGAGATCCTCGCCTGAGCCCGTGAGATCCTCGCCTGTGCCCGTGAGATCCTCGCCTGTGCCCGTGAGATCCTCGCCTGTGCCCGTGAGATCCTCGCCTGTGCCCGTGAGATCCTCGCCTGTGCCCGTGAGATCCTCAGAGGGACCAGCTGCTAGGTCCCCAAAGGAAGCGCCTGTCCCCAGAGGTTCCCAACAAAGAGGAAAACTGAGGATCCCTCAACATTTAACGAAACATCTCATAAAGGCCTCTATTGAAACACCCATTCCCATCCAGTCTCCTCAGAGGGTACCAGTGTCTGCCTCAAAGGTGCTCACTTACTCCTCTCATGGAGCACCTATGCAGAAGATCGAGCCTCTGACTTGTGCTCAGGCAGCACTTGTCATTAAAAAGATCTCAGAGAGGAGAAATGCAACAAACCCTGAGCTGCGGAGGCAAAATTCGCAAAATGCACCAGAGGCCGAGTCTTCCGTAAAACTGAGGATCCCGAAGCAGAGGGAGAAGGTCAGGGATTGGTCGGAGCGTCAGCAGAGGCAGAACAACATCCGAAAGGGAGTTTCTGTAAGTCCCTTATATTTGATGTTTTTACTTCTTTTAAAATGTATTCAAACAAGTAAACATTGCCTTTAACGTTGCTACTATGTTTTCTAGGCCCTCAATTTAAAATCCTTTTATATTTCAAAATGATTATTTTTAAAAGATACGCCTTTAGATTTAGTCTAAGAAGCACCCATTAAACCTGCCCAGCTCGAACAGACTTTAGCCCAGGTCCCAGCCGACCCGTAAAAGAGCATTCACTGATTAGACCCTTCTATCTCTCAATTTAAACTTTAGAAACTAAATACTTTAATTATTTAATCTGGGATGCAAATCAAATCCTTTTCAATTCAGACCCCTCATATCGAAATGGTAGAAGCAACTTTTGTATAGATTTTCTTTAAGAATCCCTCATTAAATGTGTTCAGCGTTACATGATTATGTCTGTTCCTTCAACAGGACAGTGCCGGAGTGGACAGGTCAGCCTCACAAAAAAAGCAGCGGATGGCGATCACAGTCAACGACCTACAGTCGGTTCCAGGCGGCGCAGACCAAATGGACTGTTTCTGTTGCTTATTTGAAAAATGTTGTGTCATTTAAAATATTGAATATTTATATTGTTAAACGTGTGCGTCTCACAATAAAAAAATATATATACATACTAAGTATTTATTTGTTTGTCAATGACAACACACATTAATTAGTGTAATATAAACAGATCATTTTCCTCTGCTGTCACTGCACTGATTAAATTCACACACTAAGCCAGGGGCGGACTGGGACTCAAAAACGGCCCTGTCGCCTGGCATGAGCGTCACAAGACTTTAATTGTGGCTCATGATACTATACCATCCAAATGATAGCAAACAGCCTATTCTACAATCTATTTCATGCTGTCTTAAAATGAATTTAATACTTAATAATCTTAATTAATTTATGCAGTAATTAATCTTAGCTATAGGCTACTGTGCAAATAATAATACCACATCTAAATGAAAATAGGCTACACCATTACAAATGTAACTTCTGTATTCAACATTTGTAAGCATTAACTGTAACGTTAAACATTTTAAAAAGTAAAAGCACAACATATTTCTCAATATTAGCTACTGCATGTGGCATTTTACAGCTAAAATGTTGAAGTTTAGCTATACTGTAATCATTAAAAATATCACTTCCTAACATCATCCCTAGCTAGTAACTTGCAAAGTAATTTCTGATTAATTCGGTTCAGGAGTAATAGAGATAAAAGCCCGCCCGCACTGAGATTTGATTGGTTGGGTCCTTACAAGATAGCAAAAATCATTTGGCCCAGATCTAGTCTAGGTCCTGGGAAAGATTTGTATGCACTTCATTTAGCGAAGAATATCTCAACTTTTATAATATATGACCCCATTGAACAACACGTGATGTGTGCCAAAATCTCTAACCGGGACGAAAGTCCTGAAAATGATCACAATAGGTGACAATTATATCACAATACAAGTGAATGGGACTTTTTATATATATATATAGAAATTCTCATTTCTACCAGTTTAATCTTCATATTAAGAGAAATACTTTTTGTATTACAATTTATCTTAAAAATAAAATAAAATATGCAAATTAGGCAATATCACATCATTGAATAGGCTATGCGTAACCTCTTGAAGCTACAGATTTTCTGAGGTGATCAACAGCTATACCTTTCTCACCAATGCCATGAAGTCGATAATGATTGCGTGTGTTTGCGGGTATGGAATGCCAAAGTTGACTTAATTAAAAATAAATAAATGCATATATGAAGAAATGTGAAAATACACAAATAAATACAGAAATTAATATACAAAGAAGTGTAAAAAAGTACAAATAAATGAGTATTTATACTTTTATTTCATTATTTATGTATAATTGTATTTTTTTTCACACATTTATTTATTTATTTCTGCATTTATTCATTTCCACTTTTATTTATTTCTACATTCATTAATGTATTTATGTTTTTATGTCTACATTTATTTATTTCTACATTTATTTATTTCCACATTTATTTATTCCAACATTTCTTCTGCATTCACAGTTGCACTTCTCACAGCTGTGAATCCAGGGACACTGTCACTATGTGTCACTTTTTTTGGAGAAGCGATTGACCATCCACAGTCTGAATTCATTACCTTGGTGGACAAACTGTTGTTATCTAGATACAATACACACCAAAATAAATATAAAACTGATACAAATTCATCATAATTATTTAAATACACAAATTTACAACTCAAATGATGAGGACACGTACTGTAAATGTACACACCAACACAAATAACTTTTCTTGTACTCAAATCATCTTGTTTGACAGCCATGTGCTCTGCAATCAGCTTTTTAGCCATTTTCTTTGTATTAAATCAGAATGCTTACTCTCATCTATGACCTTATAATCATGGTCATTGTGAACTCCTCAGAAAATATGTAGCTTTTATATTTTATAATATGTAGATTTAATGAGATATTGCCTCATTTGCATATTTTATTTTATTTTTTAGACAAAGTGTAATACAAAAAGTATTTCTCTTAATATGAAGATTAATCTGTTAGAAATTTATGAGGATATCTATAAAGGGAAGAAAAAGTCCCATTCACCTGTGGTGTCATTAATGTGATCATTTTCAGGACTTTCATCCCGGTTAGAGAATTTGGCACACATCCCACATTGTTCAATGGGGTTATAAAAGAGACATTTTAAGAACATGTTTCAGGTTTATTAAATCAAATTCATATTTGACATACATATTCATTGAACTTCAGAAGTTTACAGTTTTATCATCAGTTTCCCAGTAGTCTTAGCCAAATAAATTTGCATTTTATTTATAAGAGGTGGTTAAGACAACAAAAACAGTACAAAACTACATAAAGTACTCCCCCCCCATGAAGAAACTGAAGATAGAGAGAAGAAAAAGAAATTGGGCCTACCCTGCCTAAACATTTAAAAATACACCAGAAAATCTGCAAGCAGTCATTTTTACCACTTTACCAGCATCAGGTTTAAATATGTGCCATGGAGGTTGTTGGCATAACTAAATGTGATAATGAGCTGTGAATATGGCATGAAATGTGTTTGCCGTGACATTCGTCTTGATTTACGTCAGTGACTACTGACTTCCCATTCTCTCACAACAATGGCTTTGTTATAGCATAATCATGCTATTTCATACAATCCAAAAGCAAGTTCTTTCATTGGGGCAACACCATAACATCACCTTTACTTCATTCTTGTAGTAATGTGCTGCTGTAACAGTACTGGAGAAAAAACACCAAGCAAAAAATTAAATAAAAGATGCCTGTTCCAAATAAAATTACACAAGTTGGGCTAAAACAAAATCAATTAATTAACAATTCATAACCGAACTTGCACCCTTTACCAAAACAAACAAATGAAGAGATCTACACAACTGGGGCAAATAAAAACAAAATGACTGGTGGACTAGCGAACAACCAAGTTCTTCTGATCTCTGTTGAATTGGACGTCCAATTCGAGAAACTGGTAAATCACGGACTCAATGTGTTTATGTTGAGGGTTTTCATACGACTCTCCGCACTTCAAAGAATCTCTTCAGGTAGTAAATCTGTCCGAGGGTCATGGCCACCAGCACCAGAGCCTCGAAGAAGGACCAGAGCACCACCCTGCTGTTCGTGTTGTCATTGACTGGAGGACAGAGACACAAACACACAGTCAGAGGCAAGCTTAACGTTTCAAGGTGAGAAAGCAAATTATAATTACTCAAAGGCCAATTAAAGATGCATATTTCGGCTGGGTTCATGTCAGGGCAATGTAAAAAAAAAAAATTCAAAGCCTGTTTTAACGTACATATTTCTGCTACTTTCTGTAATAATACTAATACGGATTTAAATGCCACATAAATGCCATGCATATTTCTTCTGAATTCATATTTCAAAATATAAATAATAATAATTTAAAGGATATTTAATCATGCATATTTTTTGGGGTCACAAAAAAATAAATAAATTCAAAGGCCATTTAACCCTAAAACCGTATTCTGGAGCCTGGACAAATGTCGGAAAAATAGTTTTAATTTATTTTAAAAAAAATACTTCCCTTGATCTGAGCGGTACAAGACTTGTCTACTTTTCCTAAGTTTGCCTCCTGGACTCAATTCTACAATGTTAAGTGGGTGAAAAAAACTCCTTAATCTTGTATTTAGGTTAAAAAAGGGCACCCATAGAAATGAATGGGAAAAACTGTAATTTTAGAGCATTCTAAAAAAAAGCCAAAATAAGACAGCAAAGTCACTTCATCTTTAGATTTTAGCTCTAAAAACTTATTGGAATGATGTTTTAATGTAGTTAAAAATTTTTTTTAAAATAAAACATAAAAATAAAGATAATTTACATAGAAAATATGGTACTTTTTGAAGGAAATTAATTCAAAAATACCCCCAAAATAAACAAAAACACCATTAATGGATAGACAAAACTTTATCGAAGACAGTGATATAACATTTATAAGAAATAAAAATTAGGAGTCCTCTGTGCCCACATTTGTCCACAATTACAGGATTAAGGGCTATAAAGTGAATACGGTTTGAGGGCTACACATGCATATTGCTGCTGTTTTCATATTTCAAAATAATAATAATTTGAAAGCCAATTTTTTCCCGGGGTGATGATAGAATGATCTTTTGAACTTTCAAAAATCATTCCATTCATTTGTTTAAAACAGACAGACACAAACAATTCTCCTAATTATGTTAATATACTAGCACACACGAAGGCTGGTTGATCACATGATCAGTGTGGATGTCTTACTTGCACGGTGTATTCTCTCTCGGACCTCCATGTATTCCTGCTCATGTTTGACCGCTGTCATGGCGACCGCCAGCTCGTTGATCATCTCCTCCAGCTTATTCTGATGAGCTGGAAATAAACGCATAGGGATTTACTCACAGAGATTTGATCAACAAACACATTGCGCCGTATGCAGCGTGCAATAATACAGCACACCAACTGCAATATTGAAGTTCATAATCATATAACCTCTATATTACACATGCAAGAGTTGACGGGTCATAAACAGCTTTAGTTTCTGGTGTATTAATAAATAAAACACTCTTCATATATATACACAGCATAAGACCAAAGCGGTCTACAATTAATAATTCAAATAAACCTCTTCTATGATAAAACACATTAAAACCATTCATGTTATATCTTAAACACAAAAGCCACAGCTCACTCTTCGCTGTTATACAGCATCTTTACGAGCACATAAGTCAGTGAATGTACTTTATATACACACGGGTGCAAGATTAACTGTTAGATTGAAGTTTAAAGCTCAACCGATGTTAAAACAATCTATTATCCAGTCTATTCCTACCATCCCAGCTGTCACCACCTCCTGGAGAGGGAACAAAGTCACGTTAGAGGTAAGAACATTTCTTTTTTCTTTCTTTTTTAAAGACAGATTTATTTCTTTATTATTAAACAATTGTTTTAAAATAATTTAATTTGTTAACGCTTTAAATAAATGCATTAGTTAGTATGAATAAGTAAAGCATTTATAATCCTAGTTAATTTGAACACATTTTCTAATACACTACTAAAACCAA